GCCAGCAATGTAAAGTTTGTGAAGTCTGCTCCTTTTTACTGGTTCTGTTAGGAATAATCCATTGCAGAGATAAAATTGTTTTTGTTACCTCTTGGTCTATGCAATTGGTTGCCACTGAAGTGGTTTAACAAAATGGTGGGGACTGAGAACCTTCTGTTTCCTTCTGCTTATTAAAGGTACACATGCAGATAAAGACCTCTGGCTTTGGTCCTAGATATGAGTTTTAGGGGATTGTGATGGATGTGTTAACTATAAGCATTATGAAGATTATGAATTCTTCATCTGCCTGAATTCAATCTCTAAGGCTCTTATTTTATTTTACTTTATTTTATTTGGCTGTGGGAAATATACATATTCAGGAATTGTGAAATATTCAAAGCAACTGTTATCTTCCAAGGACAGCATTGTGTAATCCGGAGAATCCTGACTGGCTTTAATAGTTTGTTATGGGCAAGAACACTTGGAAACAGCCAGAAATCACAAGGGTTTGTAGAATTTTACTATCCCTGCCTGTGGCTGCTGGTGGTAGACAAATGCCCTAGTCACTAGTGCATTGACTCCTTGAGAAAAAGAATCAACACTTGTGATTGCCCCATTAAGAGCTTTTGAGGTGTAAGGATTCCTTTTGTTTTCATGTTTCTGTATCTTTTCCTCAATTGCTATATCAGCTCAGTGAGTACCCTTTAAAGCAAATAATTGAATTGGGATTTGGGGATGATAGTGACTGGAGTGAGATAGAACGTGAAAGTCAGGTCATTAAGGGACTATTACCCCTAGTAAATACTAAGGTAGCATCTTTGTGGTTTATCATAAGAGACATAATAAATTTTGGAACTGGGAATATATACTGAGGTCATGCCAGCCTTTAAAATAGTAGCTCCCTCTTTCCTTTTGTGGCTGAAGGTAAACGACATTTGTGTTGGAGCTAGAGCTGACAACTGGGCAGTGCATATTGTAGGGTGTCCAAGTGAAACATGGTGCAAGACCCTTTCTACTTTCTTGGAGCATAGTAGAAGTTGACAAATCACAGTGAAACAGACTGAATTGCCCCCCCCAAAAAAACTTAACAGTTTTAGCTTCCAGTAAAAACCATAATAAAACAACAACAGATTGAAACCTTTGACAGGAAATCACATCCTGCCATCTTTAGGATACAAATAACATACTAACTACATTGCACATTGCAGTGTGATTACATCACGAAATATTCCAAGTAGCCTAATTGCTTAATCAATTTGCTGCTGTCCTAAATAGATCAATTAAAGGAAGCCATGAGTCACTGTTTGTCCTTCACCACTTTACTTTTCATCCATATCTCAAGTTTTTACTTGGAAGGTAAACCTGTTAAGTTTTTTGGGTTAATTCAGTCTGTTTGATTTAGATTAGTCAACTTCTGTGGTGAAATATGTTTATGTTAACCCCCAATGTACCTTTTTTGCTGGACAATGGCAAAAGTAGGTTTATTCAGCACTGCTGAAACCATTGCACAGTGGTGCCTCGCTTAATGATGTTAATTGGTTCCAAAAAAATCGCTGCTAACCGATTTCATTGCTAAGTGAAATGCAGTTTCTCATTGAAATGCATTGAAAACTGGATAATCCGTTCCAATAGGAACAAATTGCCATCCTTAAGCGAAAATTGCCATAGGAAAGATCGCTAAGCAAAACAGTTTCCCAATTGAAATGCATTGAAACCACGAAACACAGTTTCCCAATTGAAATGCATTGAAACCTATTCAATGCATCTCAGTGGGGGAAAAAATACAACAACAAATTAAAAAAGAGTCAGAACAAAGTCAAATTTGGTTAACAGAGAGTTTATTAAGTGCACTTTATGATTTCAAACATTTTAAACAGTAAACTTTAACTTTATAAATAACAGAAAAACATTTAAAAAACAGCAAACATGAGGCTGTTTAAACCATCATTAAGCGAAACAGGGGACCCAAAATTTAATGGCTATGCAAAGCATGGTCCCAACCATCGCTAAGCAAAAATCGCCCATAGGGACCATCGTTAAATGAAGCGTAAAAACGCTCCAAAAAATTCATCACTAAGCGACTTCGTCATTAAACGAAGCAATCGCTAAGCGAGGCACCACTGTATATATATTTTACATGTGTCATGTGGAAAGGTGAGTTATGATGTGTTGTCGTCTGGATTGGACCTGAAATTCAAGAACTCTGTTCTTCTCTGTGGATACTGAAAAGATTTTTTCATGATATGAATTTCTCTAATGGCTGAAATTTGGTAGCAAGTCACTTGTTAACATCTGGCTGAATTCCATTCATTCACTGGACCTACTCTAGTTGTCACTTACTACTGGATTTCAGCCACTGTATGATTAATTTAAAAAACTTGAAGTTTATTCTTATTATGTGCTTTTGCATGAATATGACAAATACATTCATTTGCTTGTTTTCACTAGACTAGATTAATCACTGTAAAAATTGGAAATTCCATGTAGTTTTATAACAATTTATATACAAGACGGCATATGATTATTTCTTCTAGATAGAGAAAATCCTTATTAAACATATTCTGTCTTCATTTTGAACAGAAACTCGAGCAGATAGAACAAAGAAATTGTTTAGACACTATACTGTTGGATCATATGACAGCTTTGATACTTCAAGGTAAGATGCATTTTTTTATTTCACAATGTTAGGACTGTTCTCTTTTTTCATGTTTAAAAGTGATTCTTCAAGTGGAGGCTTGGTCTTCAAAGTGCAGAACATACAAAACGTTGTAGCACTGCCAGTATGTTTTCATTTTATTGCACCTTTTGCTAGAATAGAGGGCAACCGGACATCTTTCCCAAGTGAGCAGAATAGGATTCCTGTATATGCTCAATTGTGTCCTTTTTAGAGGAAGTTTACTTTGTCCTTTTTACTTCTCCAGGTCAGCAAAGTATTTGTGGAGTATAAGCCTGTCTAGAGATAATTCTTAGTGGCTTCTTTTATAGAAAAATTTTGCAATGTGTCTGGTAGTTCCTCTGTAGATAGTCAGTATGAGAAACGGAAATACAGAACCTACAGTAACTATTTCCTCAGTTTCAAAGAAATGTCTTACCACCTTTTGTTCTCTCCTGTGTCTGCTTCCTTTTCTGTGCTTACATCCGAATACCACTTCAAAACACTAGTTTTCTTTGCTCCTTGATACACTTGTTTTGCTGACTTCCCATTAGTCTTTGTCTAAAGAGCACCAATGACCTGCTCCCACTCCCTCCTGCATGTATTTGAGGGCTGTGGGAGGTAACCACATAATGATAGTGAGACAGGGTAATTCATATTTTTTGCATTCATCTTTTTGGTCTCTCTTGGTGTAGCAACTTTTAATAATATGGAGAGGAGCAGGTGAGACAGAGCACTGATTTCTGGTTGTGATTTACTACTGAATTTCAAAGCATCTGTCCACTCAATTTAGATATGAATATTTCCATCCAGCTATATTGAAGACTGTGTCAGTAGTTCAGTAATGTTGCACCAGTACTAAAAGTGGATATACAGTACTGGTAGTTACAATAATGGGGCAAGGTCTTTGTATTGTAGAGGGTTTTAAAGGTGATAAAAAGCTTCAGAGCAATATAAATTCTGTCCCATTCAGAAGCATATTGGACAAAAAGCTTTCTTCATCTCTATGACAGCCCTGATGCTTACAGTGCTATCAAGATGCGAAATGTTGTGTGTGTAGAGTGTTGAAATAATTAAGGGGTGTGTGTAGAAAAAATAGTCCTAAAAATTAAAGTGCTTTTAGCATTGAGGCTTGAACAATAATTTACTATAATAATTGCAAAATATTTGGCCAGCTCTCTAGCTGAGTCAGGTCTCTGTACTATAGCAATTCTGACAGTTGAACATGTTGTACAAATAATAACAAAGTATAACGAAAGAATGCAGGACTTACGGGAGGTGCATGAACAATAGAATTTCCTGTTAAAATGTATTCTTGGATCTCCAGACCCCTGGAAAAGAGACTGTTTACAGATTGAGGGAGGTCCAGACTGTTGAAAGAACTATAAATATAGGGTGATAACACACATCAGAATCCATTACATCTTCACAATTAAACACCACTTTGGGCACCAGACACCAAAGAACAACCATCCTTTTCAGATTGAGAACAATACCTACAGTGGAGTCTTGACTTAAGAACGGCTCGAGTTAAGAACATTTTGACTTAAGAACCACTCTCATAGGAAAATATTGACTTGACTTACATACTTAGATTTGAGTTAAGAACTGAAAAAACCACGTGGGAGCTTTCAGATTGAGAACAATACCTATAATATACTGTATGTGCTCCTACTCACAAGCATCTGCATCTACTAAAAGAGCATATTAATACCTACAGCTTAGAAGGGCTTCTTGTGGTTCAACAAAATTATTTTAAAAATTGAAAGCCTGTAAGATCAAATAGTGTATGGTTTATAGAAAACTACCAGCTGTGTGTTAATATATTTGCCTTTTTTTCCAGTAAAAAAAGTTCAGTGGTATAGGCTAACTTAGAATCCAGGTTAGAGACAATTCTGAAAGAAGAGGCTTCAGAAATGTCATTTTGTCCCTGTTTGATGGTTAAGTTCAGTTTTCTCTTCCTTGACAGTGCAAATAGGATTCTCAGTATGTGAAGGCTGCTACTTGCATTTTGGACTATTGTCCTTTATGACTTGGTTGGTGAGATCATATCCTGGGGAAAAGAGAGACTCCTTTTTAATTTTAATTAATACTTCATTGTCAGAGAGACCTAATATGGAGAAGAGACATGTGTCCAATTATTGATAAATTTTACTGAGTAACGTCATTGAGCAAAGTCATTGAGAAGGTAATAACAAGCTACTCCAGAAAGGACACATATACACTTAATCTTTTTCTGTCTGGCTCTGGCCTGGCTATGGATTTGGTCGCCATGATAGATTATCTCCTATGCTACTTGGGCAAAGTGACTAGCTTTTGCTGGTGCAGCAGCTTTTGACACAGTGGATTATGATATATTATTGTTGAGACTGGAGAAAGGTCTGAACATAGCTGGACTAGTTATGCAATTGTTTTATATTCTTTCTACTTCTCCCCCTACCCAAAAAAAAAAAAACAAAAAAAAAAACACAGAACATAATAAAAGGTAAAGGTAAAGGTTCCCCTTGACATTTTTAGCCCAGTCGTGTCCGCCTATGGGGGCGGTACTCATCCCGTTTTTCAAGCCGTAGAGCCAGTGCTTGTCCGAAGACAGTTTCCGTTGTCATGTGGCCAGTGTGACTAGGGAGCGCCTTTTTACCTTCCCACCGAGATGGTACCTATTTATCTACTCGCATTTACATGCTTTCGAACTGCTAGGTTGGCAGGAGCTGGGACAAGTGACGGGAGCTCACTCCGTCGCGTGGATTTGATCTTACGACTGCTGGTCTTCTGACCCTGCAGCACAGGCTTCTGCGGTTTAGCCCGCAGCGCCACCACGTCCCTTACATAATGGTGGAGGTCTATTTATTTGCCCACTCCCGTTTGCTTTGTGAAAATCCTCAAAGTTTTGAGCCAGCATTGAACCACTTTAACATATATATGAGGTTACCATTGAAAGTCATCCATAGCTCTGGAGTTAGGTGCCGACACTCAGCTATGTTTTTCGTTAATGCGATACTGGACAACAGCCCCTACAGTCCTTAATACTTATCTGAATGCTTTGGGCAAGGGGTTGAAGGTCAATTTTGAAAAAGACACAAAAGTGGTGCTTGTGACTCAGTAATTGACAGATCCACTTGTCACTTCTCTGATGATTTTCTTAGTGAAGCCCAGTGAGGAGATCGAGTGTTTGAAAGAAACAGGTGGGAACTGTGGCCAGGTTAGCATTTTATCACCCATCCAGGTCTGAAAACTCTCTTCTTAAGAAGGAGTGATATGGCTACAATGGTGCATACCTCTGTAACCTCAAAATTTGTTGTTGTTTAGTCATTAGGTCATGCCCGATTCTTTGTGACCCCATGGAGCAGAGCACGCCAGGCCCTCCTGTCTTCCACTGCCTCCTGGAGTTGGGTCAAATTCATGTTGGTTGCTTCGATGACACTGTCCAGCCATCTCGTCCTCTGACGTCCCCTTCTCCTCTTGCCTTCACACTTTCCCAACACTCCAACCTCAAAATTAGATGATTGTAAATTGCTCTATGTGAAGGTAACTTCAGCTGGTACAGCATGCAGCAGCTAGGCTATTGAGAGGTGCTTTGGGCTGCAGTCAGTGACATCTACTCTGCCCCAGCTACACTGGCTGCTAGTGGTCTTCCAGGTTCAATTCAAGCTGATGGTTATTACCTTTATGGTTGTAGAATGTCAATGCATCATCAAAATGAATGGAAACCACTGCAGATTAAAATAGTGTCCAGATAACCATAGATTTGTTCATGTCATTATGTGTAGTTTTCTCCACTTCCCATCTTGAAAATGATTGAAGGTGATGGGGGAAATCTGGTGGCGTGGGAGCACACTCAAGGATATCAAAACCAAAGTGAAAGCTAAACGAATAGAAGAGATAGGGGAGTGTAGAATATGAACTGAGGTAAGATTATGAGTTTACTGGAAAACTGAACGGGAATACTTAGTTTAACCTTGGAATAAATTAAGAACTTATTTTTATTTCATAAAGAAAAAAGTTTGTCTAATTAAAGGAAAATTAATTGGGCTGTCAACAGCTATTTAGAGAGTACACTTGGAAAACCTCTTAAATTTGAAAGTGCCGGTTTAATTAACCTTTGTGCCCATTGTTTATTTGGTTAGTGTAGGCTTAAGGAAACAATCATAGTGAACTCTAGAACTTGCCATACCATAGTGATGAGGTAGCAGAATCACAAACACAAAGATAATAGCATCAGCTTAGCAACCAGAAAGTTGGCTCACAGCTACCTTAATTTTAACATTTTTCCAGACTTTACACCATTCAGTCCTACACGTTTCCTGTTTTCTCATTTTCTCTTCCACATGCTTCCACAGATTTGCTTTCTTACATACTGTTTCTAATAACTGACTACCATTCAGGCAGCACTATCCCTTCTGCCCTTATAGCACTACATTCCTAGTACATTAATGTTTTCAGGGCAGCTAATGGGTTGGGCTGCATTCAATATGCCAGCTACATTCAATATGCCAGCAAGTTTGAAAACCCCAGCAGTGGCCAGAGGACTGGAAAAGATCAGTCTACATCCCAATACCAAAGAAGCACAGTGCCAAAGAATGCTCCAACTACCATACAATTGCACTGATTTCACACGCTAGCAAGGTTATGCTCAAAATCCTCCAAGGTAGACTTCAGCAGTATGTAGACCAAGAACTCCCAGAAGTACAAGCTGGATTTCGAAGGGGCAGAGGAACTAGGGACCAAATTGCTAACTTGCGCTGGTTTATGGAGAAAGCCAGAGAGTTCCAGAAAACATCTACTTCTGCTTCATTGACTATGCAAAAGCCTTTGACTGTGTGCACCACAGCAAACTATGGCAAGTCCTTAAAGAAATGGGAGTGCCTGACCACCTTATCTATCTCCTGAGAAACCTATATGTGGGACAGGAAGCAACAGTTAGAACTGGATATGGAACAAGTGATTGGTTCAAAATTGGGAAAGGAGTACGACAAGGCTGTATATTGTCCCCCTGCTTATTCAAC